TGATGCACGTTTATTTATTAAATAACAATCCTGACTTTAATATTTAAACATCGATCCCGCTTTAAAAAGTATGCATGCAAACATCCGTAGTATTCCGAATAACTTCTCGGAACTCCTCGGATGGCTCGTACATCGCACATAGAGAACATAAACACCTTTTTTGTCATTATTTTATTTTAATAACTTAATACTTTTATATATTGGGAATTTTTAGGTATAATTTTGGGAAAAACATGCACTTTTCAGCATTGGGAATGGGGCCGAATTTCGGCCCCTGAGAGACCCTAAAAAATTCCCTGCTTCCAATACTTGGAATTCATCTAGGCATTAATTGATTTTCAACACAACTAGATATGATTAAGATATTTGACAGTAGGACAGCTTACCTGTTGACTGATGAGGGCAAGACGACTCTCCAACATATTCTCTACTCGGATCTTCCCAGTTTGTGCTAAAAGTTCAACCCCTCCTGACCTGTGGATATATAAACTGAGCTACTGTACACAAGCAAACATCACATCAATCAATTATTACATAAATCTTATTCCTTTATTTGTTGCAAGATAATACTCTTCTATTATCTTTGCTGAGCTGATATAAGAAATGGAGCAAGTTTTACAGTCCTAAATTTTCAAGATCAAAGTTAATTGGTAAAATTTGACTACATTTACTTATCAGAGACACAGCTTAGTAAAACTGTTAGAGAAGTTTTGTAAGCAACACATTCCTTTTTTTCATTTTTCTTTTTTTAAATTTATTTAGTTGGATCATGAAACATTGCAATTTTTGCAGCACTTAAAGGGCCATAACTCTTGAATTGTATAAATCACCCGAAGAGGTAAGATTAAATAGTTTGAATGAATGGACTCCACTAACTTAACCCAGAATCCATTGATGATCTTATTTTGTTCTCTACATCAATACGTACATGTAGTTACAAGTAATCATCATTTCAACAATGTCTAAATAATATTAAGTTGCAAAAAAAAATTGTCCAATCTGGACACCACTCACTTTCTGAAATTAAAAAACTCAGCTCCCGGTTTAAGTACTTACACATCACTTCCCAGGAAGTTGTCGGTATCTATGGAGATGGAGACATCATTTCCTGTGGCTTCTTTGTATTGCTGTACAGCTGATGGAAGACTCTCCTAGAGAAGACATCAGGCATTTCATAAATGTAAGACTTTTTCATTGTATAGAGGTACACAGAAATCATACATTGTACTGTAAATCATGTTTTCATTGCAAGAATTTTATTTTTATTTAATTAAGTGAGATCATCTGCTTGCAAAACATATCATTTCCATGTATATTTTTTGTTTATTAGAGATTATATGCAACAAACAGAATTTGTGAAAATTTTGTCTCGCTTGTAAATACCAATTAATACCTAGTGAAAAATAAGATGTCTCGAACATTTGGTGACCCAATAGACAAGTATATAAAAATTTATACTATTGTTTACAAAATAGTGAGTAAGAATCGGTCTATTATCAATAAATCATTTATTGTGAAAGGATGACTCATAAATTTTTTCTCATTTCAAACAATGTTATTCTTTAGATTTAAATCATATTCAATTATTTGGAACTGTAAACTGACACCGCCTTCCTTTTACCTTCACTAAGTCTACATCACTCTGTCGACACCTCAGTACAACAGATGCCTCTATAAGCTGAAACAGGCCCTGAAATAAAAAATACAAATTAAGACAGTAACTCTTTTATGATGTTAACACTAGACATAATACTTCAGCATTACTTCAAGGTATTCATAGTTTTTCATTCAGCTGATTAATTTGATGATGTAAAATTCTAATTACGGTCTCTCTTTCTTTATACAGAATACTTTAACTAATGTATAAAAAAAAATTTAAGATGAAAAAAATCAACAATAAATTGGTTTTCAACTATTTTTTATTCATGGGGCTTGCACAAAGCCACATCAACATCTTACTTACCTGAGCTATCAGTCCCTCCAGTAACTTTTTGTACTTATTTCTGTCTGTTGTGATCTGACTAAGTCTTTGTCTGGCATCCTCCATCAAATCCTAAGAAGATAAAATCAAAAGCCTGAAAGGCTTCAATGGCATCGAACACGAAAAACAATTTCAAAACATTTTTTTTCATTTAAAGATAGCAGTAGGTCAAATAATTAACTAATAAAAATGTTAAGTTTAAAAAAAAAATGTCAAATTTACAGTCTGGGACATTATGCCATGGTCCGAATAGAGCAGGGTTCGAATTGACTAGACACCGTATAACATATTCATGCTGGATATCAAACTCATCTTTTTTCAGTCACTTAAAGAAATATCAAGGATTTAATGAATTTATATGAATATTATTCTAATTGTCAATGTCTAAGCATTGTTTTAGTGCATCTAAACAACAACCGTAACTCGCTCTGTTGCGACTACGATCAAGATATGATTGGGCGTGGTAGGCCTATACGGTAAAATGCGATATGGAAGAAATGGTGAAATACAGTAATAACTTTAGTTTTATGATAAAATTGGTTATAAGATTGTAAAAAGTAAGGTTTAGTTAGAAATTCAATCCTTTTTGTCTTCTAGCATTCGTGTTAATTTAATATCGCCTATTAATATATTTAAGTTGTTTGTGTTTACATGGTTCTCCTTCGTAAATGTTATTCATGTCATTCAACACAGCCTTTCTTTAGAAATTCATCCGTAAGAACTGTCACGTTTTTCTTGTGTGAAAATAAAAATTAAAACTGGGTATCTTTGTTATGTGACAAATTATTTGTAGATATAATTGATGCAATTTTATTTTCAAGCTATTATTCACTGTGAATATTTTCAAAGAAATCGACGCATTGTTATTGCTATTTTCTTTTGCGGATGCATGGACTGACACATTTGGTCACGTAAAGTTTGGTCGCCCACTAAATGGCATTCGAGCTCAAGAGCTCGATGCCATAAAAAAGATCTTTGAAAACTGATTTATATTATTCTTTATCTGATAAGTGAGTATCTCTATAAGCCATTAAGAGTTGAAGCATCTCCAATAATTTGTCTAAATTCTTATTCAAAATCTCCATGATATGTACATATTTTCTCTGCTTCCTTTTACAAAATTATGGTAGATAGCAAAATACATGTAGTTACATACAATGAAGAATACAGAAAGTCTTGAGAGATGTCTTGGGGGAAAGAAGTTGATGTACACATTTACTGGATTCACAAGATTTGTCAATATATTTTTTTGCTTTTAAAAGTTATATAAGCATATCAACATGTTCATTTGAAATTCTCAATCATGTTTGCTGTTGGTAAGAATTATCTACCTTTAGGAGATCCTCCCTCATTTTTAGAATCCGAAGTCGTGCCTGATTCAGAAGATTGGAACTTTGACTGGAATATTAATAAAAAGAACAGATAATTTTTATTTGAATAATTTTTTTTCCTCGACTTGTCTTGCTTGTTTTTGTAGCTGATTAACTGATTAATTTTTTTTCTTTCCTGGAATGCACAACAAGGGTTACTTTAGCTACACATTCAGTGTTCAGGGTTTTCAAAATACTAGATCATAAAGGGTGTTAAAAAAGTTCAAACATTTCTATTACTTAATACTGACAGAAGTATTTGGGTTTTATGGAAACCTCGTAATAGGGTCATAAATTGAAACCAATAGTTACATTTTCTTCTGTAATTCCACTTGTTTCTCCTTCCTCTCATAATACTCCATGATTTTAACTCTCTGCTGCTGAACAAGCCTCCCCTTCTCTATGTTAAATTCCTCCTCTGCCTGTAAAACAGTTCTTAAAGTAATAATTTGTCCTTGCATTGTGAACACAACATATTGAAAGCATATGTACTTGATAGTTTTTGTTTGAAGTACACGCTACATATCATCTTGCTTCAAGTAAATTTGTTAAGTATTTTATTTTACATGTTTAATTATGATTAATAACATACAATAAATAAATAAAAAAATATATTAATACATGCTAAATATTTTGTGCCCACCTTAGCATCAATTTCTTCTGCCTTTTCATTGGCTTCCTGCTCTATGAAAGCCATCATGTGTTTAATCTACAATAGGATGTTTTCAGAAGTATTAAATTTCATCCATCTACACAAAGAATACAAAATTCAATGACAGTACTGATATAAATGATCGAAAGGAGGGAAAGCACATTTTCAAACAGTACATTTAATGCAATATGTCAAACTATGGAAATCGCTTGTTTGGACAATAAAATCTTAACAACACTTAACAGTTTTGTAGTTAAACAATGTTAATGCACGTAAATGTAGCAGTCATGCAGGCACATTGATTGTTGGTACCAGATAGCTCAGTTGGTGGAGCTCCTGACTAGTGATTCAGTGGTCCTGGGTTTGATTTTGAATCCAACACATTTTTTTCTTCTCGCCCAATACATAAATGACTTGTCTGCTATAAAGTTTAATCTGGTACAGAACTTTTTATATAATGAAGCATTCTGACTTTATGCTTTCTGTTGTGTTTATAATGTATGCACTAATAAGAAGAATTTTATGTTTTCTTATGAATATGTTTACTGACAATGACAATGTCAGTGACATTGACAGTTGTGAGGTTATCTCACTGGACACTTTCAGAAATTTCTCCAGTTCAGAAAGAAAGAACAAAGAATGTACCTGGACTATATAATGTAAACTTTTTTTAAATTATAAACTCAAACAATGTATTTAATTAAGCAAAGCTCCGTCTAAACGTTTGATGGAAGTTGGAATATTTTTGTTGTCAAGAAATCAATATGCTGATTATGTATGTTTTAAGTAAACCTATGGTAATTTCAGGCATATACTATCAAGCTCTGCATTTAACACTCCCAATACCTGTTTTTGGACATCTTGATCGCTCATAGCCATCTTGACCGTTGATAAAATCACTTTTTTCCACAGGAAAAATTATTAATGGCAAACTACTCGTGACTGTGCTGAGCCCAATAAACGATGACGTAGAACACACTTCCGGTATCGGTTAAAGCATATGAAATGTGAAAGAAGTAAACCAAACCAACGGAGTTGAAGTGTCAGCCAGGTAAATAAGGTTTAAATGAAACACAATTCTTTGAATGAAGAATCATGCAGACTGTTTCGCATAAACATAAAATGATTGTTCAACACATGATCAATGTATACTTTACCATTCCTACATCTGCACATGTAGGTCTAGCTGTCAGGCAGTAGCATGTGTACTGTCTGACTGTAGCGTTCCAATTTCTGTCTCATGACATGTAATTTTACGTTTTTGACGGTGGTGCAAAACATGCAAAGCATCCCATGTTTCATGATGCATAATATCTGATGTTTTGTCTTGTGGTTGCTTTTTCAAGAATTAAAAAAGGAAAAAAATCAAATTCTTTCTGGTAATCATACACATATGTAGGAACAGCCATACATGAATGGTTTGTAGTTTCCAGACATGCTGAATTTTTGTTTCCAAGTAGAAATCCTTTTTACAGTTTGTATACACAATGTGGCATGATTGTGAATTTCAACAACAGTAGAAAGACAATGGGATGTCTTGAGTAATACGCTCCATATTACCTGGGACATATAAATTTAGATCCCTGATATAACATATGACATCTGTGAATTGATTAATTTCAATCTGCAAATTTCATTTATTGGGTCAGCAACAGAAGAGCTAGGGCACCAATATTTGAATAGAATAAAAAGTTTATACAAATTACGTTTAAAAAACAAACATAATTTGGAACTTCTGCGACCATGTAGGTGGAGTGTAGTATGATATGTCCACATAACAACAAACCTATCGATTTGCTATGTAAAACAACTGTATAATACTTTTATCAGATTTTTTTCATTTTAAGCTCACCTGAGCTGAAAGCGCAAGTAAGCTTTTCTGATCACCCATTGTCCGCCGTCTGTCCGTCTCTCTAGCTGTCCTTCCATCTGTCTGTAAACTTTTCACATTTTCAACTTCTTCTCAAGAACCACTGGGCCAATTTTAACCAAACTTGGTACAAAGCATCCTTGGGTGATGGGGAGTTTATATTGTTAAAATGAAGGGCAGAGTCCCCTTCAAAGGGGAGATAATCAAGAAAATACAAAAATTGGGGTCATTAAAAAATCTTCTTCTCAAGAACCACTGGGCCAGAAAAGCTGAAACTTATGTGGAAGCATCCTGGGGTAGTGTAGATTTTAAATTGTTAAAATCATGACCCCCTGGGGTAGGGCGGGGCCACAATAGGGAATTCAAGTTTTACATTGAAAAATGTAGTAAAAATCTTTAAAAATCTTCTTCTCAAGAAACACTGGGCCAGAAAAGCTAAACCTAATGTGGAAGCATTCTGGGGTAGTGCAGGTTCTAAATTGTTCTAATCATGACCCCAGGGGGTAGGGCGGGGCCACAATAGGGAATCCAAGTTTTACATTGAAATATGTAGCAAAAATCTTTTATAATCTTCCTATCAAGAACCACTGGGCCAGTAAGGCTGAAACTTATGTGGAAGCATCCTGGGGTAGTGTAGATTCTAAATTGTTCAAATCATGACCCCCGGGGGTAGGGCGGGGCCACAATAGGGAATTCAAGTTTTGCACTGAAATATGTACATGTAATAAAATCTTTAAAAATCTTCTTCTCAAGAACCACTGGGCCAGAAAGGCTGAAACTTATGTGGAAGCATCCTGGTGTAGTGTAGATTCTAATTGTTCAAATCATGACCCCTTGGGGTAGGGCGGGGCCACAATAAGTACTACAAGGGGGAGGGGAGAAATCAGGTGAAAAACAGCAAGGCCAAAGTTACTCATGTGAGTGTTGTGGCACATGGGCCCCTTGTTTATGTATTCATTGAAAAGGTTGTCACTTAATTAGCTTTCTTAGTTACTCATCAGTTGTCAGGATCATAATTATATTTTCCAAATACAGCTTTTATAATTTCATAAAAATGTTTTAAATCGATCATTAAGATATTTACTGAATGTATTTATCTGAATTTTCAAAATTTACTTTGCAGATAGAAATGGCAGCTAAATCTCCTCCTACCCCACCGTACTCCCCTGAAAACTTTAATCTAGAGACAAAGCTGATTGTCCTCAACTTTATAGGATACAACCCTCACGACTCTCCTTCACAGTCCATTCAGTCAGCTGACTTATTCAGGTAACAACACTTTGTTAATCAGTTGTTTTGTAAAATTGTTACACTAATTGCAGTGTAGTATGGGTTTTAATCCAGTTTATTACCTGATACTTCAGTTTTTGTTGTTTTATAATACTTTCTGTATAGTTTTGACTATATAGTACATGTATACATGTATCACTTGTTTTCACCTTTTTATCTTTTGACAGGTGATTTATTGCAGGGCATCAATCAATCCAAACATTTATATAAAAATAATTCATAAGGAACAATTTTCAAAGAGAAATTTATATATATTGTCATTATTGTGTATCTAATAAGCATTGCACATAAAAAAGGGGCATAACTCTTTTTCTTTTTTTTTTAACTTGGAGAAATGGAAAATTGAGATTACATATATCCCTTTTCAGTTTGTCAGTAAAATTTATCGGTGCAACAGTGTTTGACCTGATGATGCCTGAAAAACTATATAGAAGAAATTAATTTTTTTTTTGACTAAGTTGAGTTTTGTGAATTAAACTTTCACTCAGATGTGTTGATATTTGATTTGATTGATTTCTTTTATTAGAGGAAGATTCTGCCATTCTTTGCCTGTGACCCCTGACTTACACAAGCAGTGCAATCAGAGATCTTCTCTACAAAAACAGAAAACGGCAGGTCAGCTATATGCTAAACAATCGTCATCTTCTATCAATGAGGAGCAGGTCCCTAGGCGAAAATCATGGTCCTTAGAAACTGTATCACCTCCTAAACTGTCTTTAAAATTCAAGAAAAATGTTACTTTGAATTATAAATCTCAAGGTCAGTCATCTTCAGCAGACAGGGAGAGTTTAGATGACTACAGAGCAGATGATGAAATGTCCCAAAGTGCCTCTCCTTGTGTTCAGTCCAATGATCTCAATACCAAGCAGATTCTGTCACCAGCAAGTGATGCCTGGCTCAACCCTGATACTTTGTTTGCATCACACAAAGCAACCTCCACCACTACCCCCAAATCGTTAGGATTTGAACCTACCCTGGAGGACTGGAAAAATTTGGAGGCTGCTGTCCCAGTGACTGAAGAAGAAGATGGGTTAACAGAGATTTCACCTGAGATTCAAGAATTTGTGGATTCGCTCTTGTCTGATGTCATTAGATTGGTTGTGGAGGGAGAAATGAGAAGGCAACAGAAAAGCATAGATGAAGTTGATGCACATGATGGTCATAATGGTTTTCACAATGGAGAATATCAAAGAGGAATCAGTGGGTATGCTTACTGCAAGTGATTTGCTTGAAAGTACATGTAAATGTGTGTGTGTGTGTAGTGTTCACAATGTCTTTCTGTGGGAGTGCATCTTAGACATGAAATTAACAATTTTTGACGTATGAAATTTTTTAGTTAATACTGGTAAATGTGCAAATTGTGCAAAATACTGATGCAAAATAAAAAGAATTCTTTTTATGAGTTAGGAGTCACAATGTACCATCATAGTTTATTTATAAATTATGATATTTTCATAAGTTACCAGCAGTAAACTCAACATCTTTATTTTTAGAAATGATGACGTTTCCTCATCTTCAGCTGACTCCTGCTCCAGTATGTCCATAGAAAACTTTGGCCCCTCCCCTGAGGATGTGGACTCTGTCACTTCTCATGAGATTGACGGCTGTAGCTGCCATAGTATTAAAAGTTCTCCCAACGATTTCACACCTGGTGACAGATCTAAGCTCCGCCTTCATATTGTCAATCATTCCTCCCCAGCTGTAGAGGAGAGTGTTCTAAATTGTATGAGGGCGGAGCTTAGTGAGGAACTCTCCTCACTGGAGTCAGAGTTAGAGAATGGTAAGTTATGATAATCTGGAGTGTATAATTAAATGGACTTTCTCAAACTAAGCTTTTCAATTCATAAGGATATAAAAGGTCTTTTGCTTATATATATATATATTATGCTTGGCATTTCACAGACATTTGGGTGTAGCTTTTTTTTAAAATGCAAGTTGAAGTATCTTACAAGAGTACTGCATAGTACCTTCATTAGAGAAAATATTTATACAAGGTGTTTGTCTCCCTTGAATACATCTATCTATCCACAAAATATTTTGAAGAATTTTAATGCATTTATTAGCCATTTAAAGGAAAGATGTTTTATAGGACTAGAAAGAATGTGATATTGTGGTGAATCTTGTTAAAGTTGAAATAAGGACTGTTGATAATGTGAAATAAGGGCTGTTGATAATGTGAAAAAGAAAAGATAACTCTTACTCTCATATGGGTTTGGAACATGAACATATATTCATAGTCTTTTAGTTTTCTGTTTGTGTATCATGTACTTTGTGAATTTGTATGCTATGTATTTTTTTCTTTGATAAGCAATCCTTTTACTGATCATGAAAATGTAAAGACAAATGTATTACTTGCTAACTGTTTTGAAATTATTTTACTCTCAGCTTTACAGAAACAGAGAAATGGAGAAGTTGTGTCCCCCCTTTTGACCCCTCCGCTTACCCCTCAGTCCAACGCTGCCCGTGTCCTGGCCAGGATTGGAGATGAGGTGCGTGCTAAGTATGAGTTTCAGTTGGAGGATGCACTTCATCGACTGTTCATTGAAGGTCAACAGACATTTTCATATGAAGCCTTCAGGGAATCAGCCAATCAAATTGGGGATCAAAATTTGCCAGGCTGGAGGCAGGTAAGTGAGAATTAGAAATGATGTCAAATGTATATTTCTCTCCTAGTACTAGAATTTAAAGTTTCACTCTTTTTTTGCATACTACATGTAGTATTAAATGGTAAAAAAAAAAATTAAAAGGTAGATTTAAATTTTCTTGCATATACATGTATTTTGAATGTTTATCATATTTTACTTTAATTATGAGGAAAGACTGGAAATTTGATTCTTTGGTAAGGTTAAGAGGAAAAATTAAAGGCAAGAATCGGATATCTTTCTATACTCTCATTTCAACTGGTTTGAAATGAGAGTAGAAAGATAAGCTCTGATTCAAAAGAAAAGGTTACCTCTATATTTATACTTTTATTATATACCCAACTGATTGTCACTCAGTTTTACTGTTGAATTTATGCAATCACATGACGGTGTGATCCGACGTTCCGGACCACCACACTGTGGTTTTTTGAATCCATATCACCCCTCTCTGAAACTGATGACATAGTACACAGATAAGTGACATTTTTATTCTCACACATCAAAAAGTTCCTTGACAAAATGGTTTGTTTTAATGGACAAAAGTTATGTACTTTTATTATATTTTGCTAATTATAATGGGGTATATAATAAATTTATCATTATAATAGTAACTTGATCTGAAGAGCCGTATCACGTGGATTTGACAGGCGCAGATCATCAGATCAAACGAGATATGTTCTACATGTATTAACAATCATCAGATACCCTTTCAGTTCTTTCAACAAGAAGAATTTATTATATGTATTTTCTATTTACTATTAAAGCATTAAATCATTAGTGTAAGTTCTTTAGAGCTTTGTTCTTTCCATTTTAAATCTTGTACTTTCCATTTTAGATCTGCTGTGTTAAAGTTGTATTCATCAAACAAGTTGATTTTTAGTAGTACATACAATACATAATTATGATTATTACTATCACTTCTCATATATATGTAGGTTGTGTTAATGTTGGTGTATGGACAGAGTGTTACCTGGAGAGCTGTGGAGAGCGGACAGAGGGGGATAGGTAACTTAATCAGCTATACAACACGCCTCCTCTCAGACTATGCAGCAGAATTCATCATAAACCAAGGAGGATGGGTAATAAAAATGTTCTCTAGAAAATATACTGTGAGATAGCAGTTTTTGGTATTTGCAGAACTGAAAAAAAGTACAAAGTAATGCAAAATATTTCTTCTAAAATGTAGACAAGTGTTTTAATGACATTTTTATTATTATTTCATCAGTATTAGATTCAATTTGTATTTTCTCAGATTTAATTGGTCGTTTGTTTGACATTATAGGAAGCTGTCATGAGTTTAGAGTCCTCTGTAGAAACTTCACCAGACCAACAGATAGGCCAGTACCCCTTAAATTCCAAGCAGTTCACTGACCAATCACATTCCTTAAATCAATCAGACCACCCACTACATTCCAAACAGCTCAACAGCCAATCACATTCCTTGTATGAGTCATGTGCAATGTCAGTGAAACCAGGTGAACTTTTCAGTAATCATCAGAATGTCACTGCCAATAACAGCAGTTATCATGACAGTGAGGTCATGTCAATATTTGTCGACCCTACTCAGGTATTTGAATCTATGTCACAAGGAGGCTTGTCTTCCTCAGGTTCTGATGAATCTCCAGTGCCTAATGTCCCGTCTGTCTCGGCAATTATCTCCGAGTCTGATTTTTCTGCGGGAAGATTCCAAGGTTGGGATGACCATGTATTTACTAGATCTAGAAGCGAAGAGTACTTGTCTAATATGCTCATGATATCTTTTAACATTGGCACTTTGATTGCCCTTATTTATTTGTCTCAAAATGGGAGAAGTATTAATTAAAATTTAGTTATATGGTATTAAGTTTTGCTCAATTTTAAGTTTGTGATTTGTTGTGATTAATGATTGATGCTTAATAAGCAGAAATCTTATTACTGACCATAAATTTGGTTTTATAAATGAATCAGAATTTAGTTAGATACAAGTTTGCTTTATTGTATTGTTTATTTTTACTAATGGTATATACAGTATTTATAAGTAATATGAAACAGAAAAAAGTGTACTTAAATGTCATTGAGTAATGTAATGTGTTCATTTATCTTCAATGTCTATTATTGCTGTAAGTGTAAATTAAAAGTGGATCCAATTTGTAAATTGATATTATTGCTTTACATTTGTCTAAGAAAAGGGACTCCACTTTTAGGAAGTGAAAACCACATTAGGTTTGTTTAAGTGATATGAAGATGATTGTTTATCTGTTATTGATCTGATTTTTTATTGCCCTAACATTCCTGTTACATGTACTTTTCCATTTATATTTACAATAAAAGTCTCTACATTTGACCATAACATTTTTATATGGTAGAAAAAAAATATTTAAATTAAAAAAAAAAAATGCATAATAAAGATATAGGCCTATATTGTTATTAAGATGTTAATTTATAATAGGATTTTTGTTGTGCCAACTCCTTCTCATAATATACCCTTATTTGCTGTAAAATTTATTTTTAATTTTTATGAAGTTAATTTAGAGAACAACTAATTTTTCATTTGTTAATTTGCGATTATAAATGCTAATTTAACACTGTTGCAAACTGAGGATTTACAGGTGATGCATAAGCATAGCTGGTAAAACAGATGTTTACGGCAGTTAGATTAGCATTAACAGTTGCAAATAATAAATGAGAAATATTTATTCCCAAATGCAATTTATGTATTTTCTTTGATGTTCTTATTTAGTTTAATTTTGTTACGTGAAATACATCATAAAACAGCGTGTTTTTGTGTTGGTCTATTATGACATCACAATCAAAAGCTTTCATTTTCATTTAATTTTAATGCTTGATTAACTGCCTCAAACATCAATGTATTATCCAATCAATATGCATTTTACGAGACAGTTGGATTGGAATATGACATAACCACCTTAGTATGTTCTCTTTAATATAATGACAGCTAGTCAGAAGGTTTTATAGTTTGATTTAGGCTGGTTTACTATTTATTGCTCTAATTAGAATGTTATTATCAAAAGTAACAAATTACAAATAATTACTCTGTAATATATATAACTCTGTAAAACATTTCAAACTTTAGATTAAAGCATTGTCTTCTGTTGCACTCTACATTGGTTTGCACACATTTTGTTATATTTTGCATGTTTCTTAACAGTCAGTGCTTTACCATTCTCTTGACTAAAAATGAGAAAATGTCAAGGAAATATTTTGAAAAAAAATCCATATACCAGTATTATTGTTCCCTGCAATTTTTCTTATAATGAATTCCACCTTCACACAGATGTTTTGATTTGATTTATCAATGTCTGAGAGAAAATTCCCTAAGTGTAGTTGAGTACCTTTTATTTATAGTTGTGTTGATGCAAAAGTTAATATAAGTTATCAATATTTGTTAATAGTACTGTTTTTATTTAATAAAAAGAGTCAGTATCAATTTGTTTTTGTTTCGAAAATATATATATATATATTTTTGTAACAAAAAGCTTTTATATTTTTAATTAGTAATTCATAAAAAGAATTTGCTTCTTTTTTTTTCTTTTTTTTTTTTTATTTTTGCTTATCTAAAGCTACATATACCACAATTTTTTGGTTACTCAGTTTAAAATATGAACTTGTGTTTTGTTACAATAAATAATTGTTTTTATAAAGATGGACAGAGTTTTTATTATTATTGTTGGACAAGGAACCAAAAAATAAAGAAAGCAAATTTCATTGAAGTTTGACCATTTTAAAAGTTGCAGTGTAATGACTTTTGACCGTTTTAGATCACCTGAGCTGATAGCTCATGGGAGATTTTCTGATCACATTTTGTCTGTAGTCTGTTTGTCCATCTGTAAACTTTTCACATTTTCAGCTTCTTATTATTATTGATTATAAATTGAAAAAAAAAAAAAATAAATACTTGAAGAGATTTTCTTCTATGCTACTGGGTAAGAAGCAGATAAACTAAGTGCATGGTTATAATGAGCAAGGTTGTTTCTTCCAAAATTTGTGAAACTTGTGGCGCTACGGTCAGGGGCTGTGGTGTTTTGGGGGGGGGGGGGGGCTCTGTTGCTGGTATAGTTAAATATTGGTGAATATGCATAAATTCGGAGACCAGGTCTTCCAAAAAACTCTTGGAATAACGATGGGCACTAATTGTGCTCCATTATTAGCTGACTTGTTTTTACATTCCTACATGTATAAATCTGATATCATTCAAAAATTTCTACATGAGAAGAAATACACTTGCCATTGCGTTCAACTCGACATTTAGATATATCGACGATGTATTATCAATTAACAATAGTTACTTTCATTCAAAAGTCGATCGATTTATCTCAGTGAACTTGAAATTTAAGACACCACAAAGTCTGCAACATCTGTTTTATATTTTGATTTTTACTGACTATAGACGATAAGGACCAACTAGCAACGTAATTGTTTGATAAACGAGATGATTTTAACTTTTTCATCGTCAACTTTCCTTTTTTATATAGTAATATCCCGCATTCACCTGCATATTGTGTTTACATCTCCCAACCTTTTCGATACTCAAGAGCATGCTCCGAATATGATCATTTTTGAAACCGAGGCAGGCTACTGACAAATTAATTGATGTTACAGTGATTTCAATAAACTCGTTTAAAGTCAGCATTTCGTCAATTCCATGGTTATTATAATTACACTGTTAGCAAATATAACATATCACTGGGTCGTGTTTTGCTGACTTGTTTCAATTGTAAGGACTTTGTTTTTATATTGAATATGCCAACGAAATGTCCGTCTACCTAATCAATACATAGGGCTCACGACGGATATGACCGATCGACACGGGATGCTTACTCCTCCTAGACACCTGATTCACCTCTGGAATATCCAGAGGTCCTTGTTTATGCCCTTTTCACATATTTGTATTGTTTGAAGTTTTTACGAGATCGATCACGGTTTGTTATCTTCAGACTTTATCATGTATGTCAGATATAGACGCTAAGTCGAGATAATGCTTCTAATTGGGACATAAATCGTTTCCTTTGCGTACAAGATTAGCAAGACCCTAGTTAACTCTGAACATAATTTTTTGCTAGTTTTTGCATTAGTTGATACACAAAATGTGTCTTTCAAACATAAAACTCCTTATCTTCATAAATTTGTGTATATTCTTTACATCTGGTGAGTAGAAATATTTCATTTAAATCTTGCTGTGATAAAATTCTCAAATAAACTATTTTTCAAGACGATCTGAGTATTTCTTTAGACCAATAATGCTTTTTAGATATAAAATTGTACGCTGGCTACCTTTACGTAAAATGTCTTTACAGCAACTGCATACTGTGAAATTAGTCTTTTGCCAAAGACAACACAAGAAATTTTATATGTTTTCCATAAATGTCATTTATTAAAAATGATGATAAAAAATCCAAATGTTATAAAATAGTTGGAAGCCAATAAAAAAAAAAAAAAAAAAAAAAAAAAAAACAACTAAAAATAAATAAATAAATAAATAAATAAATAAACATTATAGTTCAAATTGAGCAAATTGGGTAAATATTTAATCTTTCTTTCAGTTGTTGCCGGATCTCCGTCGTGCCCCCATGGTTGGTATAAACATGGGTCCTCGTGCTATGTATTCATTGATGGTGTTTTGAATAGTTGGACAGAAGCAATGGTTTGTACTAAATCACGCTGTTTCATAATTTTTTGTGTGATTCATTTTTAATTTTCGTTGAAGTGAATTCTTGAATAATTAAACATACGCATTTACATCTAACTGTATGTTAAATTGAAGGAGGTAGGTAAACAAGGCGTGCACAATGTCTATAGTTTCAAATGTATAAAAATCATATTCAATTTGTGAATTTAGGATTTACAATGAAATTCTTATCATTGAAAGGTGAGAAATTATGAGAAAATTTCTCTGCGAAAAAAAAAATCGATAAAAATCATTATAAATCCGATATATCCTAAGCAAAAACCCTGAATATCCATTTTTACTTCGATATTAACATGCTAACCACTATGTTGAAATATTTATAACAAATCGACAGTTAAATCGTGTTTGTGATTTGGCCCTTGATTAAATGAAAGTTTAATGTTGTATCAAAATTATATATGTATATAGGCAAAGTATGTTTTTTCCCATATTTTTGTTAACCTAAGATTATATATTTTTACGCATACTTTGAGAATAATCTTTCAAAAAATGAAATGAAGACACACTCACAAGGGAATTTTGCTTATTGGTATAAAGATTTGATCTATTAGGCATTCTTTGGTGTATATAAGCTATTTCATGACAATCAATTTCAAACTTTGTGAGATTGTGCGATTCATGGAGATTCTACTTAAAGTACACGTTAATGTTAAATGAAACATGATAGAAAATTTCGTCATAATTGATACTTCTTTTTTTTAGTTCAATGTGTAATTTTGGCATAATATGCATCTTGCTCGCCTTGTTGGTCCATTTTCTTTGTAAGCATGTATTTATTGCAGTCGACAATGACATAATACCATAAATACGTTTTTTTAAATTAAAATTATATAAAATCCTAAATTTGCTTCATAATTAGCACACACTGAATTTATCTACCACTGGTTTCATGCTTTTATGTAATATATAGAGTACCTTTTAACGAGTGTATCTTTAGATATCAGACGAGGGGGTTGGTCCCCCGAGTCTTATATCTGAAGATGCACGAGTTAAAAGGTATTCTATATGTTTTGTATCATTGTTCTCAGGTATTGAGTTACCCATGATCTATCAATTTCACGTTAATAACACGTAATTCAACTATATAATCTCATGCACTGAATTAGCCATGATCTATCAAAACTTCATCACACCATTTTATATAACCAATGAAAAAAGAGCACGTGATTCGAAAAGTATAGCGCGCTGTATTTCTTGAATTTACTACCGCATCCATTCATACTCTGAATGCCATGGATGACGGTTGTGATTTTATGCTTTCGCAATTCTTATAGACACGGAAACCGAAATTATGAAGGAAAATTACTTAGATCAGTTAGGGAACAAGATGCAGGTTGAAGATTCTTTGGGAAGTATGACGTTTGATCTGCCGGAATTAAAAATTGAACCTATTATGGATTTCGATGTAGGAGATATTTAAGACATGATGGCATTAATTTCACCAGTCCCGAAGTCGACACGAAGATGAAAAATGAAAGGTTTTTACAAGTGTCCTATCATGAAATTCAGCATTTGATAGACTCTAAAAAATATCAACACTCGTAAATTTATATACCAAATGGGAATTCAAACGTTCAGGCTAATCAAGGAGTGGCGTGCGGCACGGGGAAATGTCCACTTTTGACCGAGATGAATAGCGATTCTCTAAATTACTGGATGCAGCGATTTGTGTTGGAAAAAGAAAGGAATATCCACCTTGCTCCCTGTACTACATTGTGTTTGGTTTGTTACGCTTCAAGTTTATGAGAGACGAAAACATTCATTTAAAAATGTGCTTGTGTGAATTCCATTTTGGATTTAAAAAATGACGTGCAAAATTTAGAATTTTTATGCAGACCTAAGGTATACATTCGCTGTGTTTATATTTGTTTGTATTTTGCTTATAAAGTCAGCTACTTTGTTTATATTCTTTTTCTTTATCAATGTAAGGTCAAGGGTCATTGGAATTGTTGCATCATTACCCTGGCGTGTTCTATCTTGATAGAGAATGGTTGTTAGAGCACAGTTTGTCATGATGTATCAAAAATAAAAACACAGTGGACATCAAAGGAAAAACACCGCAACAATGATACAATCTTGCTTTACCTCGTAAGATAGTCGGTTATGGACAATGTATCTATTCAAATTGGATAGTTAGAATAAAAATATTTATAGATAAAAAGACACACCTTCTCACTACAAATGATTATGCATAGTTTTGATAATAGCAATTATTGGGTTATCATATTTTTCAGTCGTTTTGCAAGGGACTCTCTGCTAAACTGGTGGAAATAGAGACACGGGATGAAAATGATTTCTTGCAGCATCACCTTCAAAATATGATGCATGGCCGTGTGTATCTTAAACAAAGAAAATCAATTTTCTCATTACATTTGAAACTGAAATCCAGTTTTCACCATTAAATCACGTGTGGATGTCTGTTCGAATTTAAACGTTATCAAATCCTTCATATTTTCTCTAAAATATTTATTAATTAGTTCGTGCAACATATAATAATGATATTTTAAATGGAAAAAAAAATTGAATTATCCTCTGTCCTTTTTATTGCTATACAAAATTCTGTTTTTATTTACTAAGTGATGTCCTGAATTCGTTTATCAAAATTCAGACTTGACACTTTGTACACACATTGTAATGGTGAATTAGATAAAAAAAAAAAAATAGAAATGTAATTGCAATGTAAATTAGAAGTTTCATGTTCAAATCTTCTCTGCAGATAACTACTGGATCGGTTTAACAGACGCAATTGTTGAAAATGAATGGTTATGGATGTCAACTCAACAAGAAGCTCATTTCACTAACTGGGGTCTCCTCCAGCCAGACAATGCCCAGAACAACGAGGACTGTGCAGATATGGCGTTTTTCTATCCACAAGGCGTCTGGAATGACGAAAATTGTGATGCAAAGCTACATTTTATTTGCGAAAAAGAGTTCGTTATTTTTTGTACTTTTTAGTTATTTCTACCTTATACAGGTTGCAAACATTCTTTCTCACTAGCAATTCAGACTTTTTTGCTTTAAGTATAATAAACACTTCTTACAAGGATAATCCACCTTTAAGAATCGCCGATAATTTAAGCTTTTAAGAAGTATTCTGTTATTCTAAACACTATTTATTTTTTTTATTAGGCCATTGTAATTTTCTCTTTTATTTAACAAAAATTCTTTTTGCTGCGATTGTAATTCAAATACTGGTACTATCTATTGATATCAATTATGGAAGATAAATTCTTCATAATATCATTCCAGACTTTTTTTTTGTATTGAAAAAATGAAAAATGAAATATAATCGCAAATAGGTTGGTGTAAATTCAGCAATGTTTACAAATGAAATACATGTAGTGGTTGTTTAAAAACTACGGCAAATTTTACATGCATTGAAGAAAGATTTAATAATTTTTTTTAATTTTCAGATTGACAAGCACAACACTTCTTCCAGTCGGTAATCTTGTTGGTAAATAAATCTTTTAAATTAATGAGTATCGTTATTGCTTGACATAATTAAATATATGGAGATAACGAACAGTATTCATGCTCAACGACCATTTAAACAATACAAAATAGGAGCAGAGCAAACACGGACCTCCAAAACATCAGAGGTGGGATCAGGTGCCATAGAGGAGTTAGCATCCTCTGCCGACCTGTCACACCCGCCATGTGTTCCTTGCCATGATCGGGGAATAACGGGACAATCTGTCGACAATTCAGTGTGTAAATAAGGGCCTAACAATTAGTATGTAAAACGTTTCAGCATTTGACTTAATGCTAAATTGTTTTTGCTGACAAGGGCATTGTATCGACCAAAGAACTTACAAAATGATGACTTTAAACGAGACTGTTGATATTATTGTTTCGTCAACTTGTTTGTCAGTAACTTACCTCTTTTTATAACTTGTTCATACGTAGAGCATGCTCTTGCGTATCGAATCAACTGAGAGATATAAACTCCGTATGCAGGTGCTACGGGTATATTGCTGCATAAGTAAGGGAAATTGACTATGAGAAAGTTAGGTATCACGCTTAAAATAAAGCTTTGTTATTGTGGTACCATTAAAGTCTTTTTCTAGTAAAATATACAAATATGAAACAGATGTGTCAGACTTTGTAATATCTTTTATTTCAAGCTCACTTTGATATATCGTGTAGACATACGAATTGAAATACGAGGGGCATTTGAAATGTTCTGAGAACTGTTTGATAAAATGTTAACTGTTTAACGGAAATTACTGAGTTTAATATAATTGGACAGATCACAAAAATATACACATATTGTGACGTCACTGTAATTTTTATTACGTAATAACTCCGAAAATGACTCGAATGTCTAGCATACAGACCATAAAAATGACGTAACAAGAGACACAATTTCAGTGAAGTAAAATTTTAAAGTCAATTTTTGTTCGTTACTTGGATGCATGCTAACGGACACAACTGCCTGTTGGAAGAATGTTGACATAGACTGCATTCTATCATATGAAGGTTATATATTCAGGAGCTCCTATAGTTTTGAGGTGGTTTAAGAGTGTGTCAAACATGGCATGTTATTATCGCAAAATATTGAGCAAAAAAGACGCTGCTGTGAGAAAAACAAATATATTGAATATATAATGAAAATACATTCCATTATGTCTTTAAAAATCTTCTGTCTGCTCCTGCATATATAGCAGATAAACAAAGTCCATGGTTATGATGAGCAATAAAGATTCTTCTTAATTTATAAAATTAATGTGCCCTGGGTAAGGGGTCCTTCTAAGCTGGGCTAGATTGATTATAGAGTGAAAATGTATAATTCTTTGAAAATCTTTTTTTTTGCATATTTAAGCAAAGAATGTACATAATTTTGATGAGGAAGGGTGCAATTTCCATAAATGTAAAATTGATGGCCCTGGGTCATGGGTTCTGGTGTTGGGGTGGGGCTTTATTGATTGTAAAGTGAGATTTTTTTTCTTTTTTCGAAAAAAATCTTTTCTCTGCTTAATGTATTAAGCAAATAAAAGAAGTGAATGGCTAATTTGAGCAAATTTTTGATATTTAGTTCTCCCTGGTCAGGGGTTCTGGTTCTAGGACAGGGCTACATGTATATTGAGTATATAGTGAAAATGCCTTATATCTTTGAAAATATTCTGTCTGCTTCTGCATATTTAGCAGATAAACAAGTTCATGATTATGATGAACGAGGGAGTCTCTTCCAGAATCATAAAATTTATTGCCCCTGGGTCACGGGTTCTTATAGATGATATAGTGCTGGACAGGGCTTTATTGATCTTGAAGAGAAATTTGTACTCTGCTGTGAGAGAAGTTATTCCCCTTTAATTAATCATTACGATAATTAGTAACTGTAAAAATGTAACTATTGGGTCAATGAAATATAAGAATTATACAAGAATTTGTAATGTGTAATAAAAAGAGTGCTTTTATAGTGTTTTATGGTCAAATACACTCGTAAATTCACAACTGTAATAGATATGTAAAATGGGGCAGAAATTCCATACTTCTACATTAAATTATTCAAAGACCAAGAGAGGCCATTTGTTACAGTGCTACTTGTATACATTTTTGTGCTTATGCCCTATTGTGATTTAAATCTGGTGATAGTGACAAATGGATCGGTAGTGTATCAGCACTGGCAAGTACAGGCAAGTAAATATATAGAAATGACTTGTTGCTGAGTATTAGACCAAACCAACCCTCCCCCCCCCCTTTTTTTTTTTATCTCAAATTGTCATTTTACTCTTTCTTCAGGGCAAGATATCTTCATCTATCTCTTTTGTTTATATATATATATATATATATATATATATATATATATATATATATATATATATATATATATATATATATATATATATATATATATATATATATATATATATATATACACTTCATACTCTATTGATCCTTTACAGGTTTGTATTATACTCAGGTTACTGATAAGGCCCTTGGGCCTCTTAATTTATAGGCTTTGGTTACCTTAAGAACATGGTGTTGGTACATTAATATTTTTGTTTGTTTGTGATTTGTTTGTTTTTATACAATGATCTGCCTTTCAGTTTACTTTTTGATCTACAATATATGTACCAGTTGTTGATATGATTTTGTTATTATAAAAGATTCTCATTATATTCAGTATGCTTACAGGTACTTCAACACAAATAGTTGTAAAATTTGACATTTTATTAACAGTCAAATTTCTTCCCATATTTGACCCGGGATAATCTTCTATGGTTGAGCATATGTCTAAGATAACAAATTTTAAAATGACAAAATGCTGAATAAATTTCAAATGTAAAATTTTTTAGATGCTGATTTTTAATTACAGCTGACCAGCTGCTACTTTGATTTGCCTATCATTTTTACCAATAATCATATCTTTAAAAGTATTCCCCAGTTTAAACCTATTTTTCATAGCTGATCAGAATGCAAATTTATACTCAATACCTTTAGAACACTGTGACAAATCTTGATGAAGAGGTATGAAACATGATTTTGATGTGTTTTTTTTTTGTATTGTCAAAGTATGACATATTATTTAAAGTATACATCCAGATCTCAGAATTTTACACAAGGCTGAGTTTAACACGTTATTAAACCTTTCGTTAAATCTCTGTTGACACTGTGTGGAGGATTAAAGTTGAATTTCGTTATCTCAAACTTCGATATCTTGAATACCATTGATATGCTAAAGAGAGTTAAAAGTCCCAGCCACTTTTTCTTTGTTTTTAACCTTGATATCTCAAATCATTGAATATCTCATTTTTTTGTGACCCATAGGGTTTCGAGATAACAACATTTGACTGTATTTTGTTTTACAGATTTTGCTGATATTGACAACTACTATAATTGTACGTCACTGAGTGTACATGTTACTTGAAGTAATATGTAATGTTTGATTATTTTCTTAACTTGACACTTGTTAAATTCTTGGAAATATTTTGGAGAAGAATTTTCTGGCATAGTGTTACTAAGCAATGTTCTCAGAAAATATTTTCACATGTAATTTACATGTAATGCATCTTTTTGGTTTTAAATAGGATAAAGATTCACATTCCTTTCACAATTTTTTTTACTGCATCTAATAAAGTAATTTTACCCCATGAATTTTTCTTTATAAGTTGTCCTACAAATAGAAGGCTGAATGATTTCTATTTGAATTATAATGATTTGACATAATACATTCCATAAGTGCAGCACAGCCATATGTTGATCGTTATTTTCAAATGTGATTGAAATTAAGTCTTTCTTTTATAGACTTGGTTTCCTTGTTTTTATCCAGCACAAAATAGAAGTACATGTATGTCATAAAAATTAGAGGAAAGAGTTAAATACTAGTTTTTGATCATTTATTGTTTTTTCTTCATTTCTGATAAAAGAAAGAGCTTTTATTTTTTGAGTTGTGAAATTCATTGAAAGAGTGTACGTTATTATATATATGGCTCAGTGTATGCCATTATTTTCCTGTTAATCAAAATATGTTCAACTCTTGTTCTGTTATAATAAATGTTTTCTGTTGAAAATTTTTAAAAAAGTTCTTGTTTGCTTTTAAGATCTTAAAAAGAAAACATGTGCAAAAGTATATTAAGAGCTTTACTTAAATTCATTATATCATTGTTTAAGATCACTGATCAATTGATATTGAAACTCCTGAACTAAAAATAGCTTTTATATAGAAAGCAAGTGCGGAGAAGCAGGTGGGACAGACATACAACTAGACAGATGGACGGAAGCTGAGGAGGAGGAAATCCCTCCAGTTTTCTTGGTAGGGGACTGATAAGTACGCGCAAAAGTTCTAGTTCAGAGATCACGAGGCAATTTTAAAAGAAGATATGACACCAGGTTAAAGTTTTTACTGACAAATATTAAGAAATGTATAAATATCGTGTTTAAATATTAAAACATTATTTTAAATAGTATACGAGGGTTGTTCGGAAAGTTCGTGGACTATGCCAATCTTCGTTATATATACTATCTTCACAAAATTTAAAATGAGCACATTACCATATGTAAAACTATTTATTTTGTTGATGTTTAAAGTTTCATTTCATTTGCTTTAATAGAATTCATGTTTTTTTTAATTTTAAAATCAGCACGTTTTGTAACCACGGAGCAAACTCAAAAACACTGTAACGTCAAAAACATACCGACATGAGGTTCTCAAAAATACTATCCCTATACACTCCACACAGTATTGCCAAATACCAGTGCACTCATTAAAATCGTTTCTCTATCACATAAAATCTATTTTGCTAGCAATTGCTTCAGTAGCATAATTTTGTTTGTCAATGTTATATTTTTTTCACTGCACAAATGTGCTTTCACAAGATCAGAGTCTGTGAAGTGCCAAACTCTTAGCGCGACGTTACTAACTTTTCGATGTTTTTGATACGATTTTTACAGATAATCCGTTTTCTCCAAGATCAC